TTTGGTTTAGTACAGTCTATTGCACTTAATCACGTGAACGTAGTCATGCAGTTATTAAGTTTGCACAGTAGTCCAAAAGCTTCTCCCAACTTAATTGACAGTGGTGATAAGTTTCCAGATATTTGCAATACCTATTATTCCAGCTGCAGACCTTCGGTATTGACTGCATAAAAGTCGATTGGTCAATTAGTCTCTTCCTCCAGTCATTGACGTTGTATTCCTTGTTTCTTAATTTGCTTCATCACATAATGTGATTATGAGTTAGTGCATACACGGTAATGATTGAGCCATTTTGAAAGATAGGGTATTCTAAGGGGAATACTGTATCATATTTTGCTGAAAGTTTGCACTGCAACATCCTTGCAAACTATGACCAAATAATTTTACTTTTGTACTTGAACTCCCAATCACTGCATGATATTTAACAGATCATGTACTTTTTCCACTTGAGTCCATAGTATCTATCAGCTTACAAGTTTTCTTTCTGGGCTTGTGGCTTGAATTGTCAAAGTCAGAGGCTAACAGCTGCCTCTTTTGGAAGCAGAAGATTGGTTTAATTCTTCTGATGGTAATTGCTTATGCAAATCTTAATGGATTAGATTTTTTTGTTTCTCAGTTATGCTCAATGCTCGCGAGAGTTAAACATCGTGTCGTTTGTCGATTGGATGTTTAGTAGTTGGACATTTAATTCACTTTGGCTCCTTTAAGCTTAACGTTTTTGAAATGCATTCGCAAAATCTAGTCTACGCTCACCTCTGTGCCCTTTCAGTGTACGTACTCGGACAAGTACGTGCAGATTGATGGATACATTTGGAGAGGACATGAGGTGGAAACCTGACGAATTTCGATTGTTGCAGTGAACATTTTGTTCTGTATACGGAAACTGATTTGGCTGCTGGGAAAGGGATTTACCTTGGTTCATGAGTTTATTCGCTTTGAAAGTTAGATGGAGGAATACATGATTGTTCCCGGGATTTTCAAGTACACTAATTTTTGTTGTTCCCATTTTTATTTTATGTTCAAGCATCCAAAAGGAGGCAGTTGATAGCCTCCAAATACCTTGGTAGCCACTGATTTTCTTTGTCATTCGATACAACTCCTTCAGAGATTCTGTATATCTATCTACTTTTAAAGCCAGATTCACAAATTATTCCTATTTCATCTCCATCGACATACTACAGGAGCATGACTGAATTGATCTTTACCTAGACAAAAACGTTTCGACTCGATAATTGCACTGTTAACTCACCAAAACAATTACGCAACAATTTATATTCCATTTTTGACATGTCAATCTGAATGTATAAACACCAAGCATTATTATTATTATTATTCCTGTTATTATTTTTATCATAAGTCCTATAGGATACTGTAAAACATGGAGCTTCAGCAGCAAGTCGACATTTCATTCTCTTCTCTCCAGTCTTCTCAACATGGCTCACTCACCACATGCTTCCATTTCTGCCTCACACAATCTCCTCCATATCACCCTCACCTCAGACGCCCAACTCGTCCTCTACCACGTGGGTTACACTCAACGGCCTAGACTGACGCGTGATGTCACCAATCGGTCTTCTCACTGCATGCCCAGTCCAATACATCTCCACTTTCTTCTCCATATCTGTTGGACGATGGATTCTTGATTGGTTTGTTGCCAGGCCACAGTGAGTGCTTCGTTGCTTATCGTAAATGCTCTGGCCATTTGGTCTGCAGTATTGAGTGACAGTAGGCTGCAGCTGTCAATGTATGTGTGCACTTTGTTGGAAATGCTTTCCGTAACGCGAAGCCAAGTTTCTCAACTATCATATCAAAGCACTGACTGACTGACTGACTGACTTGACTCGATTAGTGTTGAAAATCCGAATCTCGTTCATGCTTTATGCTGAGTGCAGTGCCACCTTACCTGAAAATCATCCTAATGGTTCGTTAATCACGTGCTGGTAATCAGACGGAGATAGCAGTGACTGAAAATGCAGAGTTGTCAAATATCCTTCAGTCGAAGAAGCCAAGTTTCACAGGTTCACAGCAGCACTGCATGCACACACACATTGTACACCCGACCTCTAGAGGACAAGCTGTTTCATAGTGTGGTAATGGTAATCAATAATGATGTATGTTGCTGTCACACCAACATCCGCGCGTGTATAACTGTCCAACTACACAAACTTACTGATGACTTACAATGATTTACCGTCGAAGGTTTCAGAAGATACGGGGAATCCAGTGCATTTTCTAGTCTGTGCATGATGATGTGGTCTAATATTTTGCTTGGAACGGGAAGGAACATGATTCCGTGTCAGTTCTTGCAAACACTGAAGTTGCCCATCTTTGGGAGTTTGGCAAGGTAACCCTTCTTCCAAGCACCAGCTACCTTTCCTTCCTTCCTTTCTTCCCTCCTTCCGAACAGTCTGCGATTGTGGTGTGAGCATGTCAGTTGATGTCCCTGCATCTGTTTTCAGTGCTTCGAGAGGAATTCAATCTGGTCATGCTCCTCCCCCTGATCTCAGCAAATTCATGGTGTTCAAGACTTCTGGGTTTTTCGGAAGTCTTTTGATGACTGAGTTCTGTGACTGAACTGCTGGTAGTATTTGTGAGCGAGTGGCACATGTTGGTGGTGGTGGTAGTGGTGGTGGTGGTGACCGTGGTGACGGTGATGGTGGTGGTCGATTCAAGAGATTTCTGAATCAGTCAGCGCATCGTCTCCTTTGTTTCAACTCCCTGCTAACTAAGTTTCCTTCACTATCTCTCATCAACTTCATCTGTGTTCATCTCTTCCCTCCCAGATAGTAACCTGGTTATTTGATGTTGTGTAGTGTTGTTGGGTCTCTGTCTCTCGTACCTGCAGCCTGTTCTGCTTCCCTAGCAGGAGTGTCGTAGAAGTAAGTGTCTTTCGTCTTTCTGCGCACCTCTCTTAACCACTTTATCCAGTGTTGTGTTTTATAGGTGAGATTGTATTCAGTTCCTCTTTTCGTTGTTCATCCCCACACTGTACTGTGCTAAACTGCACTGCACTGCACTACACTGGTTCACCTTCTACTTCACCATCACCATTTTTGTCTCCCTCCTCTCTCAGATCCCATGTGTCCGTCGAGATCCATTCCTCGTTATGTCTTCTTTCTTCTTCCTTCCTAACACGGTGTTGCAGGTTTCCCTCCAGGTCTCTTTCAAAGAGTTCCAGTGTTCTTCCACGCAGGCTTCCTCTGGGATATTGTTTAATGTCTCCCATTTTGTCCAGATGACTGGCTGACTTAAAGGATGTCCTTCGTAGCTCAGTACCTCAGTTCAGTTTCTGGTTGGGTGTGTGACCTTGAACTCTGGTCTATCATCACCAGATTCTCTGAAGGCTTCCAACTTGATTTTGAAGGTGGGTTCCTTGCACAAGATAGAAAGTGAGTGGTGTGGATCTACATCTGCTCCTCTTATTCATCTTGTGTCCAGTAGGTAGCATCTCCACTTTCTTCAGATTGGGATGAAGTCAACCTGAATTTCGTTGTGTCCATCTGGTGAAATCAAACCCTTTCGCTTCCTGAATATCCTCTTTCCAACCACTAATTCATTGAAGGTGTAGAAGTCTGCAATCACTTCTCCATTCTCATTCCACACTTCACCGAGTGGTGCTTCTCTACACATGATGAGTTCTCTTCGTGTGCTGTCTGCTCCCAGTTTGGCATTCATCTCACTCCACCCATCAGAATTCTGATGTCGCCATCTGATTTTGGGTCTTGTCCAATAGTGATTACAGTTGTCTGTAGAATTCCTCTTCTTCTTTTGATCTGGCTTATTTGTATGTGCCGGGCCTAGCATTGTATGGTTATGACTTCCCTTGTTTCTATTTGAGTCTTGCTGGCGTGATACTGAATGAGGAGGGGATTGATTTTCACTTCATGTGGGAGAGCCTTACAATGCTTTTGGAGACATCATGTTAGCCACTCGAAAATGCAGTGTGCTTTCCTCGTGTTTGTCTTCTACGTGACAATTTCGGAGTAGATTATTGACTGCTCTCCAGCTTAAATTTCGGCAAGTCCACTTCTATTCCATCTGCAGATTCCTAGTACTTCTATGATACATGTTAATATCTCTTTTGTAATCTATCCAACCTTGCCAGCCAGCTTTGAAAATCGTGCGGATGTTGCACTTCAACATGTTAAGTTTTGTTTCCATCGAACGAAGGTAGGTATATTTGCCAATTGGCTTCCCGAAGGCTTTCACCAACCAGTATCATTTCGTCTCCTCGGTTCCAGTGAGGAATAATTTCATTTTCATTTTCCATATTTTTTGTACTTTGAAGTATCTTTAGCGATTGTATTTGTTTTCCGAGGTATAGTTGCTAGCCTTATGCCTAACCTTCCCTCTTTATCCGAGCTTAGGACCGGCCAGTAAACTGGTGAACTAGTGAACATTTATAAGTTCAGCCCAATAACCTAATATATTTCTTTTAATCTTCTCTCGTCTCTACCAATTCTTTCATGATATCATTAACGTTTTTCATCTTGATACCTTAATTTCCTGGATTTTGTTTATATATATATATATATATATATATATATATATATGTATATATACATATGTGTATATATCTTAGGAATGTATTGCCTGCATGCAGTTGTATATTAGACAGAATACAATGAATTCATCATATTCTGCCTGCTATACTTGTTTTCTTACGTTCGCCAAAAATTTAGAAGTACTTTATTTGTTAATCAGCTTTTAAGATTGAGCGATTTCATGAAGTTTGTATAAAGTTGTCGTTTAGTTTAAGAAGCAGAATAATGGTTCTTCCTAATTGTGCTAATATTTAACGAATTACAAAATGAGAATGTCCTCAGTATACGCATATACGTATCATCTTAAAACACTTATCTTTCATCTAGGAAAAAATTGTTGATTCTTATTACCGATTGGTATTTTTATATTATGGGATAAAAATATTTCTGTTTCTGTGATTGGTTATTACACTTGGCGTCCAGTATATTTATAACCCCATATTTAATAGGTTAAATAGATAACTGGTGGATAATTACTCTCACTCCTGATACAAATGTATAAATAAATAATTCCAGAGATATTTATTGATAGCTTTATGAATGATTTATTAGAAATATGAGAATACAATGGTACTGCTTCTACTGTTGCCATTATTACCGCTACATCTTTTTAAAAACGATCTTTTATTATAGACAACTCGAGTATTAGAACCAATGAAACATTTCTTTAAATATACCTGTCCATTAAATGCATTCAATGTGATAACACTGCTAAGTGAGTCAGTTATTTTTTACTTTCATGGATGTATCGTTGCTATTCTTTGTAAATTAGTTACTGGTGCGAAGGTACTTAGTACATTTTATCAACTGATCATTTGAATAGTTCGTATCTCTGTGAAACTTGAATTTGATGTTAGTTTGCCACAGCCGGACATTCAAGATATTATTTGATCGAATAGTAATGTTTGTTACTAATTTGAATCCTTCGACAAAGGTTATTTCACCAGGTTTAGGATCAGAACAAGAGACATATAATTTCAACTTCATATTGTTAAACAAACATTTCACTACGCACTGAGGTGATTTCCCATTGCACTTATATTTCGTTAGACGGTGAACTGGTTTACGATATCCAGGAATCAGTTGCAGATGACTCTTACCAGCTAAGGTGATTATTTATTCAGAGGTACTCTTCCGCCATCTCCTAATCAGTTAACACTTAATGATTTTCTGTTCATAAACTTGCAAAATATACCCATTTATTCATTATCAAGAACAAGGCATGTATCAGCGATAAATGTTTCTTGGGAAGAAATATTTCTTCCTTGATACATGTCTTGTTCTTGTTCACAAACTTGAAGATTATTGTGGAAGTATTCCGTATGATAAAGCAGTGGTTTGGCAAACATGCTTTTGGTAAGATTCAGGAACTAAATATGTGCTTCGAGTATTATCAACTCCATCAGGGCAAGCAGCAGGTTAGCTAATGGCTAAAAATGGTTCATGAATGAAGTCAAAATAAAGACTTATTAACTCCAATCCCTCTTTTATTCTTTCTGCCGCTCGACTAACCAACTCACGAGATAGAACTGCTGATCAGACGTTATATTTTCCTAGAGAATCGATTGCCACTTTGTATCTTATTAATCTAGTCAACTGTATTTAGATTCGTGCGTCGCTTTCCCGTTTACATACTGACCATCATCGTTCTTGACGTTATCTATTTTATTCATAAAATGAATTTCAATCAACGTAATATGTGCTAATTTGAATAAAACTAAAAAATACATCACTAGTTCGAGTTAAAGTATTTTTCAATGGTAAGCCAGAAATGATTTAAGCTAGAGAAAAGTTGAAGGTACACAAATAAAACACAACCAGTTTGCAGTATGATGGGATGAATGTCATGAAATTAGTTTTTTGAATTAATGTCATTCTGTGTAACAATACATTTATCCACATGTTCTCTTTTACAACGTATGGAAGTTACGTAAAAAGTGGTGTAGGCAATAAAGAGCTTTTTTACTGTTTGTTAAGATAAATATACATTGTAGTGAGAACTAGTTTCTAACATGAACGTACTTTGGACGACACTTACATAAAAGCAGGTTTTCCATAACAGCTAAGCATATGTACACTTAATGGAGTAATGACAATATAATTATGGATTTTATGATCAATTTATTCATTCATTCATATCTTGTACAAAAAAATAATGCCAACCTTAGCGTTCAGTGATAAGTAGTACCTTCATGGTTAGATTCGAAGGAATTCAATAACCTATCTGTGTCTTTATCTCTTTGTTCATCCAGAAAATAAGGACACATGACGTCACCATAATATCATCACAACTCCTATTTCAGAAGTTCCCTTCTTTCACTCATTTGGCAATCAGGTGCAACAGGATGAAGAAAGGAGGATAATACTTAGAGACTGAGATAGAGCATAATTCCATATTACGTTGATTAATTGATACAGAAGAGAGTGATAAAGTTATGTTTATCGGACGACGTTTTGAGGAGGAATCATCGCTAATATTCACATCCTTTTAATTTCAAACTTCATTTTTCAGCCCGAAATTCCTTGGTCCGTTCAAGGTAATGAGGTTTAAATATTCCAGATACCTCCAAAATGAATACAGGGCAGTCTCTAACTAGGTAGCAGTCCTAAAATGCAATATAGCTAGGTGTTAGGAAAGGCTGATCACATAATCTTCGTTCACTTAATCAGCATCAAGCACATAGGAGGAATGATCAGTCATATACTACTATCTGGGAAATATTACTGCCATTAAAATAAACGAATGTAAAACTATTGGACCATATAAAGGGAACTTGAAAGCCATATGATAACCTTGATTTGAATATGAGCAATAAATTCTGTTTGAAACATCATCCAGAAAACTGAAATAAACAATTTGAAATAAAAAGACGAAGAAAGCTTGGTATATGTGGTTCAACATTATCATGAAAACTCAACGTTTACTGTATACTTGGCTTTTAATTTTACATCAAATGTTTGTGCAGAATATTTGGAAAAAACAAAATATCATGATGCTCAACGCCAATGACACAGTATCAAAGGAATATAATAGACTGATGTTTCAGGAAATAAGTAGATGCTTATGATAGTGAAATTTGTTGGAAATTTCGTAGAATTGTCACTGCCAATTTGCACTGAGTCACCGAAATGAAACCGACAGAAAAAACATTGTCGACAGTGTGTTAAAATCATGAAAATATAATGAGAGAAATGTGAACATACACCAGCTCCAAATTGCAATAAAGATTCTTGTAAGTTTTAAATCAAATCACCACGTAAATATGCCATAAAGCTTTCCTCAAATGCTTGCCAACAAACTGTGATTCTTCGTGCATCCAGTTTTAAAGCACTTCGTAAATTCATCTATCACAATGTGCTTTAGTCGTTTCAGTAACTACCATTTCACTTACTGTTTTAGTGTGATATGACATATGATTACCAAAATCTTCACAAGTAGCTATAAATCATTAAAGCCTTTTTCAAACAGTCGCTTTACTTGAAAGCTTCGGGAAAAAACACGTGGGCCAACATATAAGTATCAGGTTGATCAAAGAGATGAAAAATCAATAGTGTTTAAATCTAGTAGGCCTGGAAACAGCCAAGGCCGTAATAGTATATATAAACTTTGTATTTTGTACATTTTGATGACGTTGCCGTTGACATTCCAAATACCCCTTCTATTTAAATACCGCCTTTTTTGTTACGGAGGAACGCAGCGACCACTAAGGGTGGAACCTGAAGATTATACTTACAAGCGTCCTCATATATAATATTCCCCACATATATATAACTTAGGCTATATCAAGTTACTGTAAGGATGTAAAACGTGGAGACCGAAGTTATAAAACTTACATGAAGAAATATTTCGTGCCCACCTTCGTTTTACATGAATGAATATCCAGTAAAAATACGACAAAAGTTTTGTTGAAAGAGTTCATATTTACCGAAAAGAATTCATATTTTCATCCAGTGCTCTATTTGTTACTGGTAAATGTGTGTGATGTATACGTAAATGGCAAAAAAATGCTAGAGAAGCATATCACAATTTCTTGAACTTTCACTATTTACAGTATCGTAAGTATAATTTCTTTTTGCCCTCTATAACTTGCTTTCTAATACTGCCTGCCATAAGCAGCCATTTTCAGGGAAGATTTCCTCAAAATCTTGTCTATTTTCTTTGATTTGAAACATTCTCGAACTTCTGAGCGTATTCCTTATCAACTGAGAAAGAAAACGAATTTTCACAGTCGAGTAATTTATGATAGTGTGTCTCTATCATTACATAGGAATACTGGAATGATAAACAATTACTGGACTTAGACTTTTCTTGGTATAAGTTGTACAGTGAATGGTGACATTATGTCTGCACAAGAAATGTCCATCAGCACACGTCGCAGTTAAGGAGACGTCTGAATTCAATTACTACTTTATTAAATGTTCTTTAGCTGAAAAAGATAAATAGAAATTAGCTTGAAACAATTACCGATTAAATGCTTGTTATGATACGAGTACATACATGGCTGAAATTAGTTATGGCGCCAGAGTTCATCATATATATATGTAATAACTTTTTCCAGCACCACTGCCTCAATATAAAGGATTTCAAGACAGTATGAATACTCTTTTTTTCCAATTTCCTTCATTACTTTCAAGGAGTACGCCTAAAATTAGGATGAATTTTGCATCGATAGTTGCCATCAATAATAGAAGTAATTGAATTCACTAATGAAAACATGAATTAAGAGTAACAAGCAACTGTACTAGGTGAGGCATTTTCATATGAATTAACTACCTATGTTTCTTAACACACTAAGTTTGAAGTGCATGTAGTCTATCCCATAAAGTTTCCTATGATGAATTAATTGGGATTTCATTATCTCCATAGCTACAGTATTTCATTTTTTTAACTCACTATTATTTTGATTTAAAAAGAATTGTAGGTATTTGCTCACAACTAAAAATAAACCACTTGACATTTATTTCTATGGTAGTCTTCAGTAAATATTTATGCCCAAGTTTCACACTTTTAGCTCACTTTAGACTCACAAACAAGAGTTGATCTGATGTTTATGAGAGGTCAATAAAACTATCTTCTCATTTCTCTTACAAACAATAGATTTAGGCAAACAGCCCTGACTGTGATTGATATAATCTACTTTTTATACTTCTTTATATCATATGTGCTTCTAAAAAGATGATACCGAAAAATTTATTCTTGATCATTTTTCAGTATTCATTTAAAAATAGCTTAAGTATTAACATTAGGCTTTTAAACAGCTTTATGAAAAGACGAAGATTATCTGGAATATGTGGTGTATTAGCACTTTACATTTCCAATTTTTTACTAATATAGCGACTTGCAAGTCAGATGGAATAAGTTTGTACAATTGAATTAATCGCATGTGGATTTGATCATTATTGTATTCAGGTATCTCATGGAAATCCAAGTATTCATCATGTAATTAATATCAAAGTACACTGAAGCAAAACAGAATTTATAGAACAAAAGTCTATTCAGTAGACTAAATTCCGAACATAGTATTATCTCCTTACTCATACAACACCTGTGTTTAGTCTTAACAATCTCAAAGAATGCTCATTATGTTATTGAGAGGTGACAAAATGTTTTATGCATCTAGTAGAGGTGGTAAACTGATTCCACAACAATTAAATTTGCATGAATAGGGAAGCTGCAGAAACTTGACAATCAAAACTCAACTTTTCACAGTAATC